GTGGTGCTGGGGGATTGAACCGCGGTCCCTGATGCTTTGCCAAGCTTGTTCTAAGTAGGTGCCTTAGACCACTGAGCCATCTCTCCAGCCCCCTTGGTGTTAACTTTAATACAAACCATCTAGTAAAATATTACTAAGTAGGGAAGGGATAGGAAGACAAATGTAACACACCAGGCCATGCTGACCTGCCACTGGACAGTCCCTGCCGCACCCCTGGGGTTTCCTACCTGAAAGGGGACATTAGAACTCTGGCCCCTTCCTGTCTCTGCCTCCCAGCCTCCCTGAGGTGACCAGGCTACCTTGGTGAGCTGCTCCCACCACAATGCCCAGCTCAGAGCACAGGGCCAGGTAACCATGAATTGCAAACTCTGAAACCCAGAGCTAGAATAAGCCCTTTCCTCTAAGTTGCCTTGAGATTATGTCCTAGTAACAGAAAGCTAACTTAGAAACAATTACAACTGCCTACCTTTGCTTGCGCGGCTCACCCTTCCTGGCTCCCGAGGATCCACCCCAGGGGGTGAGCAGCTCCTTCCCCTGCTCCCCAGCCTCCACTAACTGCCATCATCACAACACATCCTGAGCTGCTCTGTCCTTTCCACCTCTATCCTCTGCCAGAGGCCATTATCAGGACCCTTCTGTCCCCCTTGCTGGGTCACTAGTCCCCTTTTGGCTAGGAGCTTGCTTTCTTCAGAAAATACCAGCAGCTTCAAGTCTTCTAACATCCTGAGGTAACCTCTGGCTTCGTGGCTGGGCCATGTTCCTTGGATTGACTCGCTCAGCTGCCCCAGTAGGAAGAGGGGGCCCTGCACTGCTCCACCCGGGATTTTGAGCCCAGAGTTCTGCCTGCTCTGCCTTTCAGCTGGCCTCATGAGAAGACAGCCTGCGTCTTTCCAAGCATAAATGCTGGGATGGTGATTGTGCAGATCACAGTTCTCATCTTCCTGCTAAAGACAGTCAGGGATAAAGAGGAGTGCCAAGAGGGGCAGCATCACCCATCTGAGCAAGGTGGAAGAAAAGCAGCACACCCGTCTACCTGGCAAGCAGCGGGCACTCTCGGGCAGCAAGTGCTCATAGGTGTTGAACAGTCCTGCGCTGGAGACCACCACAGGGCAGTAGATGTTCACCAGCTCGTGGCCCTTCTTCACACTGACACCTGCAGGCACAAGAGGGTCTGTTTGCACCAGGAAGAGCCCTTATCTCCCCTCCAGCTCTCTCCTGGAATGAGTGTGGAGCCTGCCAAGGGCCGTGCGGGACAGGCCCTGGGCATGATGCAGATTCGTACCCTCAAGCAGCCTTCCGCAAGTCCACTGAATGATTACTAGAACCAGATCCAACAACTAATATTCTTTGACCTTTTATAAAAAGGCTGTTCTGTATGGCTCAGCCTCCCATTTCTGACTGCCTGAAAATAGCCCTTCCCGACTTCTGCACCTCTGCACATGCCGTTCCGCCTTCCAGAACCTCCTCCCACCCCATCCCGTGGACTCCCTTGCACCCTAACCAGCCAAACCCTCTGCCCTTTGAGGTCCTTCCTGTCTCATGGTGCTGTCAGCACCATCTTTGAATATGTTGCCGTGTGGCCCTTCAACCACTTTGCAATAATTCCCTTAAAAGACTGGAAACTTCTTAAGATAGAGGTTGGACTTAGCTTTTATCCTCTTTTCTCAGCACATGAGAAACACCTATCTTCAGGGTAGACTGAACTGATGCACCCGCCTGACTTCCCAGGGCCCTTGGAACATGGAAGAGACCTTGCTCACAGGCATCCGAGAAAACCTCATGTACCTGACAGCCCCCCGCAACTTCCCAGATGGGTTAAGGTCACTGATGGCCTTTTACTCTTTTCTTTTTGGTGCTGGGCCATCCCCTTTTCTTCCTCAGTGATTCCCCTGGCCAGTTCCTGTTGGTGACAGCACTGTTGTCCTCAGGCATCTTCTTGGCCCCTTGCCTGAGCCACTGTTAAACACCCCTGAGCCTCGCTGTGGTCGGATTGTTCTGCTTCCCAGGGTTCCTCCTACACAGGACTCTTCAGAGTGCATTTGCGGTGGGCTCTGACACCATGAAGGTAACAGCACCTACCCACTGCCCACGGATTCGTTCCTTCAGGCACTGAGCAAACACCGACTCAGCCTCAATGATGGGTGAAGAATCATTGACATAAAAAGGCCACGGCCCCTCCCTCAAGAAGATGGTCATATTTTGACATATTACATAATGATGAAATGCCATTCTTCAGGGACTATGCAATCCATTATCCTTCCTGCCTCCCTTTTTATCTCCGGACTAATCGCCACCCTATCCCCCCAGCCCCTGTTTGGCAGCCGATTTGGGCTTTCCCTGGCATGAGGAGGGTCGCTCAACTGTAGCTCCTGTCCTTGGTGAGACCCCAGAGCTCTCTCACCCCAGCAGGATCCCCGTGGCACAGGGCAAGGCTCTCACCACAGGCTTTGCCAGCAGAGTCCAGCAGCACACTCTGCACAGTGGCCTTTGTGAGGACTGCGCCCCCAGCCCGCTGAATCACAGGGATCGTGTGGAAGGCAATCTCGCTGGAACCCCCTCGGGGGTAATAGGCGCCTTGGATGTAGTGGTCAACCAGCAGGGCGTGCATGGCAAAGGTGGTGTGGCTGGGGGTCACCCCTGTGGAAGGACAAAGGACTATGAGTGGGCAGGAGCAGGTATGGGTCCCTTTCAGAAAGAAATGGGTGATCTGGGTCCAATCTAGGATCCAGATGTTGCCCAGGGTCCAGGGCCACCAGAGGAGCTGTCTCCATCCCACCCAGGCACCTCAGAGATCTGGAAGTACGTGGGAATACAGTCCCGAAATCCCACACTGCCAAGACCAGGGGCATAGGCTGGGTGAACAGGAAAATCCCCCAGGGAGCTGATGGAGGAATCTCCCCTAGGGAGCCCAGTGAGGGACAGTAAGCTCCAGAGGGCCTGGGGTATATTCTGTTCTGCCTTTAGTAGAGCACAGCCTGACCACAGGAGGCCAGCGCCTGCAGCTGGTACGCACCATAAGTGGGGAAAATGTAGCTGAGCACAGCCTGGAGCTCAGCAGAGGCCCCCAGCTGCCGCAGGACCTCATCCAGGCTTTGTGTGGATGCACGAAGGAACGGAGAGAAGCGAGTCAGCAGCCCACACTTGCCCAAGAGCCGAACCACAGACAGCGGGATGAACTTCAGGATGATGGCTTGAGTGGCTCCCTGGGCTACCACCTGGCAAGGAAAAAAGCCATGGGACACAGATCACATCTCTGGAAGAGCCGTGACAGGATCACCATTCCGAAAGCCTGCGCCCTTCAACACCTACCCAAAGCTGGATATTGTTGAATGTTTTGTACCAGGAATTGAACTCAAGACCTTGTGCTTGCCAAGCAGGCACTATGCCACTGAACTATATCCTTATATTGTATGTAATCTGCATACAATGTAAGGAAGAGAGAGAGGCTTGCTAGTTGGCCCAGCTGCTGTCATCCCTTTGTGGGGAACTGCTGCCCTCTGCCATGTGTGACTCTGCCTTAGTATAGACTGTAACCTCCACTGTGAACCAAATAAACCTTTCCTTCATTAATTTTGAGTGTCAGGTATTTTGTCCCAGCAACAAGAGAAAAGTAATAGAGAGGGAAAAAGAAAATTCGAGACAGGGTCTCGCTATGCAGTTCAGTTGTCTCAGCCTCCCAAGCGCTGGGATTATAGGTGTGTACCACCACACTCAACAATCTGAATTTATATTTTAAAAAATTTTATACTCTCATTTTTCCCACCTTGCATACCCAATGAGTTTTTTTTACTCCTCTGCGCAAATTCTTTTTCAAAATACCAGTCTGGCCAGCCATGGTAATACACACTTGCAATTCCAGCCACTTCAGAAGCCAAGTCAGGAGGATCACAAATTTAAGCCCAGCTGGGCAATTTAGTGAGACCCTATGTATCAGTGAGTCAATCAATCAATCAGTCAATCAATAGGACTGCCAGTATGGTGACATGCACCTGTTATCCCAGCACCCAGGAGGCTGAGGCAGGAGGGTAGTTGCAAGTTTGAGGGTGCCTAGGCTACAAAGTGAGGTGACAGCCAGCCTGAACTGCATAGTGAGACTGTCTCAAAAAGACCAAAAAAAAAAAAAAAAAATCAAAACAATAGGACCAGGGATGTAGCTCAGGTAGAGTACTTGCCTATCATGCACAAGACCCTGGGCTAACTCCCCAGTACTTAAAAAAAAAAAAAAATCCTAATCTGGTCTCAGCTGAACTAATGATCAGGTGACATGAAAGCAGCCCCGCCAGGCAGGAACAAGGTGTGCTCCACAGATGAGAGTGAGGTGGCAGCAGCTGGGCACAGCCTCCCGAGCAGGAGAGGTCAGCAGGGCAGATGCAGGGCGGGCCGTGGGCTGAGGGGAGGGCAAACATGCATGCTTCTCCTCCGTTACCTCTCCTGCTGCACTTGCTCCACCAGCTCAGCCTCAGGGCAGTAAGGGCAGTTGTGGGCATGTCTACATTACCGTGACCAGCTGCATGTACTTGTCAATAACAGCTTCTTCCCGGGGAAACTTCTCCTTCAGGCCTTGAATGTACGCTTTCTTCCCACTGTACATGGGAAACTCCTTCCGGCCATCAGGCCCTTCAAACACCACCACATCAAAAGGGGAGCAGAGCGGAGCCCAGTCCAACTGCCCTTCTGTGATCTGGTCCAGGATAAACCGGCCAAGGTTGCCCTCCTCCATGCGCCCAATATAATGGATTCCTGTTGGGAGGCAGGGAGACAATGCAGTGCAAGGATAATGGGATTGAACCCCGGGAAGGTGGGCGAGGAAGGAAGTGGAAGAGGCTGTCCAGGCCAGGCCACCTCCAAGCCCAGGGAGGGCTACCCATCCTTCCTTTTGGGACATGTCAACAGAACGCCCAGGTCCTAGCCCAGGAGGGATGGATGTGGTCCCCGGAGAGAAGACAGCACTTCCACAACTCAGAAATGCCCAGCATCACCCCACAGTGGCTTCTGAGTCCCTTAAAGGTACAGCCACGCTCCCAAAGCTTTTCAACACAAGCCTTACCTGTGTCAAATTCAAGGCCATTTTTTCCAAAGGTGTGACAACAGCCTCCTGCCTTGTTATGTTGTTCCAGCACGAGGACTCGCTTGCCAGCTTTGGCCAGAATCGCTGCTGCAGCCAGGCCTCCGATACCACTGCCAATCACCACCACATCGAGCTTCTCTGGCACCTGGCTGACTGAGAAAGCTGTAGCAGAAGGGGAGGCACAGGGAGGTTTCTCAGGGGCAAAAAAAAAAAAAAAAAAAAGAGAGGGACAGAGGAAGAGAGGAGGGAGGGAGGGAATGATGCAGGGAGGAAGAGAAACAGAAAAAGAGACAGACAGACACCAAGACCAAAGACTTCTCTAGCTCAGACAGTACAAGACACCTCTATGCCTCAACCTTTTCACCTGGGGCACGTCAGGCCCAGCCAGGTCTATGCTATTGTTATTATTATTATTTGTTTGTTTGTTTGCGGAACTGGGGATTAAACTGAGACTCTTGTGCTTGCCAGGCAAGCACTTATTTTACTGAGCCATCTCTCCGGCCCCAGGGTCTATGTTAAATGACTTGGTTTTGGTATAGCTGGATGAAGCAAAGCCACTACCTATCGGGGATTTTCAGTTTTCAAAGAAAGTAAGGTGGCTGGGAATATAGCTCAGCAGCACAGTGCCTGCCTGGCTATGAGATCATGAGTTAGACTCCAGGTAACAAAACAAAGAAAGGACACAGGAACCAGCAAGTTACAACAGAACAAAAATAGGACAACAGTGTACACGGAAAATCCTAAGTGCACACATAGAAAGCAGCCAAGGAAGAAAGGAAAGGAGGAAGTGGGACAGGGGAGGAAGGCCACAGGGAGGGCTGACAGCGGCAAGGACTGGACAAGCTGGGCTCCTGGAAGATGGAGGGCCTGCAGGTGCCAAGGGAGAGGCTGGACAGTGTGGTGCAGAGGCTTGGGCTGACAGGAAGTCACAGCAGCACCCCTTCACAGCTGGAAGTGGAAGAGAGGTCACTTTCACAGAGGATGAAACTATATCATTCCCTTTCTTTTTTTTTTTAAATTTATTTATGTGTGTGTGTGTGTGTGTGTGTGTGTGTGTGGCCAGCTCAGCCCATCAGGGGGCGGGGCTGGCATGTGGTGCTGGGGGATTGAACCGCGGTCCCTGTGCTTTGCCAAGCTTGTTCTAACTAGGTGCTTTAGACCACTGAGCCATCTCACCAGCCCATCATTCCCTTTCAACAGAGGATGAAACCATGCTATTATACTCGTGCTTCCAACACCGGCACTTCCAACACTCGGTCTGCTCTTTAAACACTGCTGTCCCAGAAGAGACTTTAGAATTTTCAAGTGACATAACTTGCAAACTTTACTTTTCATATGCTCTTCGAAAGACCCGGGGTGGGGGAGATGGGTCAGTGGAATAAGCGCTTCTCTGGCAAGCGCAAGGGCCTGAGCTCAATCCCTGGTTCCGCCAAAAGAAAGAAAGAAAGAAAGAAAGAAAGAAAGAAAGAAAGAAAGAAAGAAAGAAAGAAAGAAAGAAAGAAAGAAAGAAAAAAAAAAAAAAAGACCCACAGTGAATAAAATAATTTGTATCTGTTATGGTTTGTGTCTAGTTGTCCCCCCAAAGCCTCACTGAGTCAAGGGATGGCTCCTGGAGTTTATGACTGATTGCGGGTGTGGATGCTGCACCTGCCCCAGGGCAGGTAATACGCATTACAGTGTAAGGAGGGGAGAGAGGCTGGCTAGCTGCCTGAGCTGCTGCCACTCCCTTTGCTCTCTGCTCTCTGCCACCACAATGAAAGGTTGCTTGCTGCCCTGTGCTGTGCTGCCTTGGAGCCAACTGAGTACGGACTGAAACCTCGGGTAACTGTGAGCTAAATAAACCTTTCCTTCCCTAATTTTGCGTGTCGGGTATTTGTACCAGCAAAGAGAGAAGAGTAACCAACGCAATATCACTTCCCAGAATATGTGTATATCTACATATGATACTACTCAATAAATCTATGTACGACACTCTGATATTTCTGATGCCCCCCCTTTGCGGGTACTGAAGATTAAGCCATGGGCACACCACTGCTGAGCTACATGTCCAGTACCATACTTTTTTTGACATAGAGCCAATAAGTTGTCCAGGCTGGATAAAGTTGGGGTTATAAGAATGCAGTATTACTGCCTTTTAAGAAGCTAATTTATCTGGGCATGGTGATGCATGCCTGAAATCCCAGGACTGGAGATGAAAGGCAAATTAAAATTTTAATTAAAAGCCAGACAAGAATGTCTGCCACAACTAAGTGGGCATGTGTAATGGTTTGTGTAGAGGTGTCCCCCCACAAAGCCTCATGCAGTCATGGGGCATCTTGTGCCACTCTGCCTTGGAGCCAGCCAAGTGTGGACTGAAACCTCCAGTAACTGAACTAAATAAACCTTCCCTAATTTTGAGTGTCAGGTATGTGTCCCAGCAATGAAAAGCAAATAAGACAATGTATCTGGGAAAATCTGACAACAAAACATTCCTTCCTTTGTGTAGCCCCTGCTTGTTTAACTGATGGCCTTGCCATGTAATTTGAGATGTTTAAACTCCCTTAGCAACCCTTGATGTCACCCAACTCTCCAATCACAATGCACCAAACCTGCCTTTGTACCTCCCCACTTTCTTTCCCCATAAAAGCTTCCAAATTCCACTGGTTGAACTCTGACTCTTTGGGAAAAATTTCAGTCAGGCTCATCAGTGTAATAAACTACCTGCTAAATCTTCTTGCTGCCATTTCTTCCAGTGTTTGGTCTATTTTCTGTAAGGAAGAGGCTGAGGCAGGAGGATCATTATCAGTTTAAGGCCAGCTTGGGCTACATAGTGAAGCTGTCTCAAAACAAAACAAAACAAAACCAAACAAAACAACAAAAGAAAGAAAATGAAAACAAAATGCTAAGTACAACTTACCAAACTTCATTTCTTAATTCACTGACATGTCACAATCTGTCTTGAAAAAAACTTAAATTACTCATTTGGTTTATTTTTTCATTTGTGTATTTGGTACAGAGTTTCACTATGCAGACTGGACTTGTGGTGATCCTCCTGCTTTCAGCCTCCCCAGCGCTGGGATTACAGGCGTGTAATCAGTCCGGGTTTACTGCCATGGGGGTGGGGCCAGATTGGCATGCAGATCAAACCCTGCTCCCTGTACTTGCCAAAGTAGGTGCTTTTGTCTACTGAGCTATCTTGCCAGACCTCTCATTTAGTTTAGATCCACCCCCGGGAGTGACTTGCCAAAGGTTATGCTATAAATTAGAGACAGAGCTCAAGGAAAAACTGATCTCTGAAGTCCACACTAGTAGTCTTTTCATGTGAAACAATATTATTTCACAGAGAAAAAATATTTTTTGAGGAAAAAAAATACGATTTCACAGAGAAAAAATCTACAAGTGAGAAGGGTGCTAGTGATTAAACAGGGCATCCAAGTTTTTTTTTTTTTATTTTGTGTGTGTGTGTGTGTGTGTGTGTGTGGCCAGCTCAGCCCACCAGGGGTCAGGGCTGGCTGGCATGTGGTGCTGGGGGATTGAACTGCGGTCCCTGTGCTTTGCTAAGCTTGTTCTAAGTAGGTGCTTTAGACCACTGAGCCATCTCACTAGCCCCATCCGAGTATTTTTATTGTTTGTTTTGTGTCTGATTCTTTCAACCTTGGGATGAACTCCACAACGCATCTTAAAGATGAGGGTTGGGGGTATTTCATCAGAAGGGATCAGACCTAAGGCACCCTGTTGAACTGCTCCCAAATTTCAGAATTAACCCTATGAGTTGTGCCCACGCTTATTAAATTGTTCATTCACTCGACTGGCACAACCCAAGCTTCTACGCAGGCTGGCAGAGACTCCTGCCAGGCTTTGTCAAGCCTGAGATTACAGGACCTCGTCCTAGAACCAAGTGGAGCAGAAATCATTCCTGTGCCCCGAAGTGATTTCAACTGGCAGAGCTAGGCCTGGCTGCGATAAGACTTTGGCCTGCCAGGGCAGCGCCCGTGGGGTAAATTGTGTCCTGGGACTGCGCGGACAAATGCTCTCGACAAGGCAGACGCGAAAACCAGACGCCTCCAGGTGTGACAGTCCGCCCGACACCTTACTTCTGGGGAAACTGAGGCCCAGGTCAGGCAGCAGCTTGCCCTACGGGGCTGGGAAAGCAAACCCTCTGGAAGACCTGAGCGCAGTCCCAGACCTCTGGTCCCTCTCGCTGACCTTGTTTGAGAACCTTCTTCCTGGCCTCCTTGTCGGTTACGAGGGGAGCTGGTGGCCGCTTGACGTCCTCGGAGAAGGGGTTCGGGGAGCGCCCGCCGAACAGTCCCAGATAAACTTTGCGGAGTCCAGCCAGCAGGAGGACGGCCAGCAACACCAGCGTGAGCCACATCGTGCCGAGCCAGTCCGAGCAACAGGTCCTCGGCGCCTGAACTCTGCTTTTATGGCTGCGGCCCCGCCCAGCTAGTTTGCCCTAGCAAATCAAAAGGCTGAAAGCCACCGGGACAAACCTCTCAGGCGCGAAGCCAATATCCGGCATACATTGATCCTCCCGGCTCTTCGTACCGCTTTGCGGCGCCTCCAAGTTTTCAATGCCTACTGGGAAATGTAGTTCTGCGGAGGGGTAGGAAGTTATAGAGGCCGCAGGGGAGGCACTGCGCGTGCGCAGATGAAGTCCAACCGGAGACACGGACCCCCATCCCCTGATAAACCGCTGGGAATGCTGGGAGCGCGTCGGGTGAGCGAGGTGTGGGCGGTAAGGGGCGGGAGGTTGTGAGCTGCAGGCGGTTGCCTTGGGGGCTGCCCGGGACTGAGAATTGCAGCCGAGGGACAGTCCTTCCTGGGAGAGGAAGGTCTGAGTTCTGGTCCCGGTTTTGCCAGGACTCCCTGAATGCCTGGAAGCTAATTGTTTAAAGCAGTGAGAAAGTTTCTTTCCTGCGTGCCTTACAGCCTCTGGGTAACTGAGGAGTTTGATGAATTGAGACTCCTGTTGAAATCAGTGGCACCCAGCCGCGGGTCACTCTGTGACCGGTATCGGTGGCCGAGACCACCGCCTCCCATCCCCCGCGATGTCCTGTCTGGCTGGGTCCCACTCTGAGTAGGGGACAGGTTGCTGCTTAGGGACAGGGTTTTGTGGAAGGATCAGGCAACGATTGGATGGACCGGCATCCAAATTAAATCATCCTGGAAGTGTGAATTCCAGCAAGCGGTTGAAAAGTCCCACCCGCTTAACATAGCTGCGATTTGAAAAGGGTCCGTTTTTATAGGAGACCCGTTTCCTTAGGGCCGGCTATCGGGATGCCGATAGTCCTGGTAGGAAAGACCTCGCAATTTTGAATGCTTGCTTGTTTGACATGAGTTTTCGTTCTCTCTCTTATACAGATAGTAACTGTCCCTGCTGAAGCCTTGAGCAGAGCTCCAGGGTGTGTAAAGCTGGTCATGCTTCTGTAGTACTTGATTCATCTCCTACTCAGAGGCAGAAGAGCCTTTCCTGAGATTGCTGCCTTCATACCTGCTCGTAGAGGTTGAGGGATGTGCTTTCTGTCATCTGCTGTCACGGAGGCTGTGCTGAAAGCACGATTAAAGGGAGGCAGATGCCGAGATCCCAGTATAAAACAGTGAAGACTATCCTGGGATACTCAAACCGAGGGGGCGCTGCCCTCCCCCCTGAATTAGAGAGTCAGATGTCCACCGAAAGAGCCAGGAGGTATCAGTGAGTGTGTCCTGACAAAGATACCAGGTTTTGTCTCAGTCAGTATGTATTTATTTGGTACTGGAAATCGAACTCGGGACCTTGCACTTGCCAGGCAGGCACTTGTGCTACCAAGCTATAGTCCTGGCACCTGTATTTATTTATTTGTTTATTTTAGTTTTTTTTTTTTTTCCAAGACAGAGTTTTGCTATATAATTTAAGCTGGCCTTCAACTCATTATGTAGTCTAGACTGGCCTTGAACTTTCACACATCCTCCTGCCTCAGCCTCCTGAGTGCTGGGATTATAGATGTTTGCCACTGTGCCCCGCCGTTTTTTGTTTTTTTGAAATAGGTCTCTCAGTGCAATTCAGACTGGCATTGAACTCACTGTGTAGCCCAGACTAGCCTAGGATTCATGATGATCCTCCTGCCTCAGCCTCCTGAGTGCCAGCTTTGCAGCGTTGTACCACCGTGCCTCACGGCCATTTCTTAGAGAATCTAAACCGTATTCCCGCAGACAGGAGTACCTTCTTTGTCACCTAAGTTTGTGAAACCTGATCATCAGTTGCGTGTGAGCCTGTCTAGTCACAGTCTGGCTCTTTTATGTGGTAGGCATCCCTGAAGTCCAGTTCCTCAGGGTAAGGTATCTGACCCTTTTACAGCCCGTTCCCAGAGGCAAGCAGTATGAGATGAAAGACTCACATTTGGGGCTGTTGCTTGGCACGCGTGAGGACCTGCGTGTAATCCCCAGCATTACAAAAACTAAGACAAAACCACACAGAGTTGGCCAGACCGGCCAAGAAACTGGCACATATATCAATAAGCTAGGCATCGCGGCACATAGCTGTGATCCCAGCCTTCTGGGAGTCTGCGGCAGGAGGATCACAGATTGCGAGGCGCGGTGGTATCGTAGCAACTTAGCAAGACTCTGTCTCAAAAAAAGGGCCAGGAACAGAGCTCAGTTGTAAAAGCCTTGGTTCAATCCCCAGTACTACCTCACACACACAAAAAGGTAAAACTTGGAAAAAGTTACAACATGGTGCTAAAGTTTGAATTTTGAGTTTCTACTGTCCTGGGAGCCCAGGGCGTGTCTGGGATCTCAGCAGAACCTCAGCTCTTCAGTGAAGTACACCAACAGGGTTTGAGTTATGTAGCTTGCCCCCTTTGATAAGCTGTTCCAGATCCCATTTGCGTTATCTGCAGAGACAACCTGCAGCTTACTCTTTGCCTTTAGACACTGAGAGCCCAGCGCCCAGACTCCTGCTCGGTCCCCTGCCGTCCACTGGCATGGGTCATGATGTAGGACTCTTGCTAAGGCAGTTTACTCTGAATTCACTGCTGCTTCAAGATTTTAAAAGTCTTTTTTTTTTTAAGTCATTTTTTTTCAAGGCTTAGCTGAATGCTGAAAGCAGTTTTCATTTTCTTTTTCCAGAGCTGAGCTGAGACTTCTAAGTCATCAGGGACTTTGAGTGCGCATAGGCACCTGCTACACCCTGGGGATGGCACACAGGGACTGTTTTCTCACTGCTGGTCTGCATGACTGCCAAGGAGGAAGGCAAAGGTAGAGCAGCGGATCCTCGGTCTCATAGCTTCAGATCCCAGACCTTACTAAACTCCTTCCTGAGCCCAGGACAAAGCTCACTTGAACAAATGACTTTGAGTCATGAATGAAAAATCTTGCTCTTTGCATGATGAGAAAGAATTAAGAGATGGACAGGTAAGCATTCCTACTTGGGAAAGAAGGTAGTGGCTTGGGGTATAGCATTAGTAATAAAGTAGAGAATATATTAAGAGTATGTGGAGTTTTGGGAACAAGGCCGGGGAGATGGCTCAGTAGAAAAAGCGCTTCCCTTGCAAGCGCAAGGGCC